TCGCCGTCGTCTCTTCAAATATGCGCCAAACAAATCATTCGCCATTTTTTTATTTCTCTTTTTTTATTTTCAGTCATTTTTTTTTTTATTTTTTTGGTTTCTCATTTTCTGTTGTTTATTGTCTGCCGGCACATTTGTTGTGGCGTAAATTTTTGTTTACATTCTTTTGATTTCGCCAGCAGCTTCAATTGTGATGCTTACCGGTTTCTGCTTCATATGTTACTTCTGCTTTGTAGTTGCTATTGTATCGCCTCAGGGCCGTGTGCTCATATTTTCAACTTGATATATTTTTATTTCTGCTGCGAATGTCTTTACCCTTAAATGCGTTTTTTTTTTTTTTGTATTTTGTCTTTGCACCATTTTTTGCTTAGAAGATATGCTCAGAATTTTTAATATATTTATTGTTGTAATGCTACTACAGCATTTTTGATTTTGAATCGTCATAATGCGACGTCTAGAGTTTATATTTGGATGAATGTCACCGCCGGCAGATGAGTGGAACTAAAATGTCTTTTAATGCTCTTTAGAGATTGCAGGTGGAAGGAGGATAAAAATATATCAAAAAATTATTTGAAAGTAAAAAAAATTTAAATAAGGAAACAAAAATAAGAAAAATAAACCCAACCAACTGAAAATGAAACAAAATTAAATATAAAATAAATAAAATGAACCTAAAACTAAAATTATATTAATTATTTTTTCAAAAAAAAATTATATCGTTTAAATTAAGAAAATCCAATAAAATAAAAGTTGAATAAAGTAAAAGAAAATAAATTCAAATAACATAAAATAAACCACCAAAATAATATTAAAAATAAAGAAATAACAAATTAGATAAAAAAAAACAAGATTCAATTAAAAAATTCGTGTTAAATAAAACTTAAAGTAGGGCAAATTGAAATACTTTAAAAGATAAATTAAAATATATTAAATTAAATAACATAAGAATTAATTATATAAAACGAAAAATATTATATTAAATTAAATTTAAGGAGTCAGTTAATAAAATAAATTAAATAAAATAAAATAAATTAATATAAAAAAGAAAAATAAAAAATTAGAAATAGATTTAATTAAAGTATAGTAAAACAAATTTAAAACTTAGACAATTATAATTAAATAAAGTAAAATAAATTAAGTTAAATTTAATCATATGTTAATAAAATAAAATAAGAAATAAAGTAGTAAAGACAGAAAAAATTAAATTAGTTCCCAAGATTTAACTGAAATAAAGTAAGTTAAGTAAAACAAAATAAATTAATATTAAAGAGTAAAAAAAAATAAAAATAGATTAAATTCAATGAAGGGAAAGAAAACCAAAATAAAATAAAATGAAACTAAAAATAGGTACTGAAATATATTTTTAAAAAATTAATTTTAAATACCTTTAAAAATTAATATTAAATGATTAAAATTGTAAAGTTAAATGAAAAATAAATGAAAAAAAACTCAGTTAAATAAAGCAAATTAAAACAGAAAACCTAAATTAAACTAAGCTATGAGAATTAACACAAATAAAATAAAAAACTAAATTAATATAAATTAAAAATGTGAAAAAATCAATTAAATGAAATGAATGAAAAAAACGAAGTAAAACTAATTTCCTCAAAAATTATTAAAAAATTAACACTTAAGTAATGGAATAAAATAAAACTAAATTAACTGAAATAAAAAATATATATTTTGATTTAAATTAACTCAAAAGTGAAAATAAAAAATTATTTTGAACTAAATTAAATTAACTGATTTAAGTTAAATAAAATAAAATAAAATTAAAATATTTTGAAATATTTTTTAAAAATATATATCAATTGAAAAAAGAAACAAATTAAATTGAAATTGAATAAAATAAAATAAAAATAGAACACAATAAGAAAAATATTATTCTGAAACCAAATAAAATTAAAGCAAAAAAAATATTAAAACTATGTACTGAAATGTTATAAAGAAAACAAATAACGAAAGTGAGATAAATGAAAAATGAAAATAATTAAAAATTAAAAAATGCGAAATTAAAATTGAGGAATGAAAAATAAAAAATAAATTCAAATAAAATAAAAAAAGAAAATAATAAAATTGTAACACAGTAATAAATATGTTAAATACATATAACGTAATAAGTAAATAAATAAACAAAAAAGGAATTTAAATAACATTTTTGAATTTCCTGTTTAAAGCTACCCCCAAAAAATATACGCTCTCAACACATAATTTATCATAAACAAACGCGCCTGACATTTCCAGCAACATTGAGTGACAATACAAAATGTTTGCAATGAAGGGTTCCACAGCGTCTCTCACTTTTCGTTGTCACACCATTTATATTAAACTTTTATCCGTTTGTATATTTTTTCCTTAATTTCTAGATACACACATCCATACATAAATATATGTTACAGCTACAAAAATATTTTACTGTTTTTATGTTATTTGATAAAATGCAAATACATACATATATCTTTTTATACCGATTTTTCATTACTTTTTGGAAAAAGGTTGAATTTCTCTGCCATTTTTTAATTTTGTTCTCTCATCTCTCTCATCAAGTCAAATTTTTAAACTGCTGCCACTTCAAAAATGAAAAATGGTCTCTCCAAATAAATGAAAGGGTGCTTGAGTATCGAAAGCTTTGGTGGTGGTGTTGTAATGCAAACCGTAAAAAAATTAAATTAAAAAAGCAATAACATCAAAGTGCGGTGACATTTTGAACGCCAAGCGCGAGTTGATGGAATAACAGTAAATGCACAAGTACGAAGGGCAAATGAATACATTAAAGTAAAGTAAAGCAAAGTAAAATGTGAAGAGCATAGAGAACTATCACAAATAAATGGTTAAGTGTTAAATATTTGCCTCACACTAGGAGGTTCACCCAACACCTAAGATTTATAGAATTCTTACATTTCTTTTTGAAGACTGCTAAATAGCTGTGATGCTCTTTTTGGAACTCTCCGTTTGTATTTTTTTATTTAAGTTTGTCACTGCCAACTGCTACTCAGACGTAACTGCGTCAATGACAATGTACTCATGATTTTCTCAACCTTTTTAGGAGTTTTTATGCTTCCTACGCTTTCGCTATGACTTTGCTGTTTTGGTACTTCAGAAGACAGAAGACAAATCAAAACATTTTCCTTTCCAACTTTTTTTATTATTGCTCTTCCCACCATCTATTTTTAAAACGAGCAAGAAATTTCCAAAAATTATTTTGAACTGGAAATGTATAATTTTGTTTAGTTATTTGGCTGCAACTTTTATTTTACTTACGAGCGGGCCTAGGCCTAGATGTACTCACACTGCGAATTATACTCTCTTAGAAAGTGAACAATTCAAAGGCAGTAGTAGGCATGACGGGCCACTCCCAGAAAGACTGGAAGTTCTTTTTTAGATGGCGCAGCAAAAACTGCAAAAAACGATTCTGTGACCCTTCTTCTCTGCTTTGGGTAGAGCTACATAAGCTCCGATATTTAACACCTATTTCCTTGATGATTAATTAAAATGAGCAGATATCAAGCCAAACTTATATGAGAGTCCAAATGGTTGGTGTAGGAATTATAATAAACGTCTTTTCACTAAAAATAGCGCGCTTCTCTCACAAAGTGCGCAAGATATCGATTGAATTGTTAGCTGTGTGGCACGTGATGCGGTCCTGTTGAAGCTATCAAGGGACGGTAATGCTCGTTTAAAAAAAAAGTTCGGAAGAATAGTATATATATATATATATATATATATATAGTTAACCATTTGTAACCACTGAAGCGATTTTCAGCCGAGCTCCTTCTCCAATTTTTGGTATGCGTCTTGATGTTTTACCAAAAACAGCTTATACCAAGCCGCATCTGAACGGCTGACGGAGGAGCCTTTATTTCATGTCAGAAATATTTTTGAAGGGATTTACATTCCCTGATGAGAGGCGACCGCAATTAGAAAATTTAGCTTAATTTTTTATTTAAATTAATTATCTGTAACTTTTTGGATGTTGGTACGACACCAGGAATTAAATCCGAGCTCCCCGAATGGCAGTGCGCATTGCTAACCCATTGCATACCGCGACCGCCAAATAATAATACCAATGAATTTTACTCCGTGCTGAATAAATATTTGCTTTTTCTTACAGATCGTTGAAAGTGCACTAAAAGCTTGTCCAAAATAAATTGTGACCAAATCAGCACTATTGAATCTCATCAAATATTTTTAAATGAATTAAGAAATTATTTTGTACAGCATAATGGCTTTACCCTTATTAAATATAATATTACTGAGCATTCGTTGTCCATAGCTGTATATGCCAAAAACAAAAACTCAAATTACAGGAAGCATTTAGCCCGCGCCCAAAGTTATGCAATGTTTTGAATGTCTCATGGAAAATAGCTAGCAAATAGAATAAGTTTAAAAAAAATATTTTTAATATTATTGATTAGTTAATTATGTATGTTCTTTTATTTTATTTTTGCTAATTTTTTATATTTTTTATTCATTAATTCTTCTATTTTATTATATATTATTTTTCTATATTTATTTTCATTTTCTTTTAATTTCATTGTAATTTATTTTATTTTATTTTTGCTAGTTTTCTATATTTTTTTTATTACTTTTACTATTTTATTATATTTTATTTTTCTCTATTTATTTTTATTTTATTTTTTTCATTTCATTGTAATTTATTTAATTTTAAGTAATGTTATTTTATTTCACCTCATTTTTTTTCTTTATTTCTTTTTTATTATTATGTTTATTTATGTTCTTAATATTTAATATGTCAACATTTTAAAACATATTTTTTAATAATATTGCTGTGCCTATATGCGTACCATTATTTTATTGCCCAGAATATGTATTTTATTATATGTGCCTATGTTTTACACCCACTTATACCATTAGAATTACATAAAAACCCTATTAAGTTCAACATGGAAACAATTTCATATATTTTTTTATTTGTACTCTTTGCGCTCGCGCCCAGACACACACTCATTATTTGCGCTCTCGTCTTTTCTACATTTCAGTCACGTACATCTCTGGTATCCAGTTCGGATGGTGGCATTTTGGCCGAAGGCGAAACCTCGAGCGAAACATCGCGCGGCACCGATGAATGCCCGCCCTGTGATTTGGGCCTGATGGAACGTCTGTTGCTGACACATCCTGTATGGTTTTTACCCGGCATACAACGGTCGGGTGCAGTGCATTTCCTGCAAGGCAAAGAGGAGGGGGTGAGTAGATAAAAAATATTGTATAGAAAAGCGGGAAAAAAACGAAAGTATTAGACGGAAACTGCCAAGCTATGTGTATAAACAATTTTTAATTAGACAAATACTTTCGGTGTTGGCGGTGAAGCTCAAACTGCGTTCTACCTTCACTGACTGGTGTTGTGCTTTCTGAAAAATTAAAAAAAAAGAGAATTAAAAAATTATTGAAAAAATGTCAAAGCACTATTATGTTGCTCTATCAATTGTTGTTGTTGCTCTTTGTGTTGCCTTTAGCTGCTGCCTCATTTGGCAGCAAAGCCGACAAAAGCTCCACCATTTTATGGCAAATTTTTGTTTGAAATTTATTAACAGACTGTCAGCCAGACAAAGGCGAAGAATGCATTGTTCAAAGCCTCAAAGCCTCAAAGCTCGAAAGCAAATTAGTTTGTTGCGGCTATGTCGTGTGGAAATACCGAGAATAGTAAAGATTAAAGCAACAGTGGCTGGCATCAGTATCAGCATCTGGAGCAATAAAGAAAAGAAAAAGCAAATAATGATTAGCTGTCATTGGCAGGAAAAGCCAAATAAAGGCTTTGTCTACGAATTACGGAATATATGTATTGAAATGTTCAAAAACGAACAAAAATTTTATGATAGAAAATAACTTAAAAAATACTCACGAACCTATGACCCTCTACTGGGTAGAACGTACCGGTAAGGGTTCGGCTAATGCATATTGAGGTTATTTTTGATTTTTTTTTTAATTCAAAGTTCCTAGGGTACCGCTATGCCACGACCTCTCCATTAAAGTGAAGTTCAGATCTTCACATTTACCTCATGATTTCCCGGCAGTGATGTTATGGTGTGTTCCGATTTGGTGTTGTTGAGACATATGAACCTACTCCTAACTCACTTTATGCACTAACAAAAAAGTTGTAATAAGATTGAACTTCAGTTGCCATCAACCTCTGTATGCTTGGAATAAAAGCACATTTTTTCTTTGGAATGCCGTAGCAAATAAACAAATTTTTCCTCATTTTCTTATTTGGAATTATATTAACCTTATGCTATTGTGCATCTTTAATCCTTCCAAGAATTTCACAATAAATTCTCACTAAACCGAATTTATCTATTTTCGAGTCTCTTCCTTGGTTTTTTCTGAAAAAATGTAATAAAAACGCTTTACCGTTGAGTAAATCAAATGCCAATGAAAGTTTATGTACAATTATATGTGTGTACATGAAATTTGCACGCAATTTGTTGAAATATTTACACAAATTACAATCGATTAGCGAAACAAACAATGGGAAATTTCAAATATGAAAAAAGAAACACACGGGTGGGGCAACATGGCGATGGGTTAATGTAGGAAATCATGTGTGAATGGACACAGCGCTGGAGAGGTGGATGTATGTAAATGCATATATGTGTATGTACAGATATTTAATTATACGAATAGATTAAGTGGTAGAAATGTAAGTGGGGAGATGCTTTTATAACATACATACCTACATTAATGCGAGAAGAGGTATTTTTGCCTAAGAAAGGCCAATAGGAAAATTTGGAGCATATTTAAATAATTTTTATATTTATTAAAGACGCAAAACAAAAATTTTTTAAATAATCTAATTTTTGAAATCAAGTTAAAGAATTCATGTTGACGATGCCTAAACGCGGAAGGCAATATCGAAAACCAGATTAAGGGCTGGCCATGACCGGCCTTACTTGAGCCCTTGAGTCAACTGAGTAAAAAAGCGTTTTATCCCGTAGCAGTTTATAATATTTTTAGAATAATACTGGTCCGAAAATTGGTCTTCACTAATTACTGGTGGACCTGCTAAGGCCGAGCTTATTATATATCAAAAGTGATATATGAACGAAAATCAATTATGTAAATTTATCACAGACTAATAAGCATGATGAAGCGATAAATATTATTATTTTTACATATATATATAAATAATTGGCGCTTGGTGAGAGGTCAGGACTTTATTGGGTGCTTAAAAACCTTCCAACCAAGTTTGCGGAGCTTCTGGCGGGCCACTCTCGATGTGTGTGATTTGAATTTGCCCTGATGAAACACAATTCTAATCTTCTTGGCCAAACCTGGGCGCTTCTGGGGGAAGACTTCCTTACTTTTCTGTCCGTCAATCGTGGCCTGGAGACCGCTTGTGCCGGCTTACTGCACAGTGATCCATTTTTCATCACCAGTGTCCGTCCCCTTCAGAAATGAATTAATTTTGTTATAATTCACGATTCCCTTAATTAATTAATCGGCATTTACGACAATTGGCCTTCCACACCACACTGCGGCGCATCTTTTACATCAAAATTAGTGGATCGAAATCGACGAAACCAAAATTGTGCATGATTAACTGTTTCATTAACAGCATCCGGTATCACACTGTTCACGCTGCTGGTGTCCTTCTTTGGCATGCACTCAAACATGCTTCTCCTGTTATCTTTTTAGAACAAATTGTCATCCTTCGTAATCTAAACAGATTTATAGAGCGCTAAGTATCTAGGTATGATCACTAAAGCCATCTATGCCAAAAATTATTATTTTTACTAGCCTTAATCTATAATATATGTACATATATATAAAGTTATGAATACTCAAAAATTAAAAAAAAAATCCTTTTTTAATTCAAACATTTTGAATCTGCTTTGGAAAACCTGAATAACGGCGAAAATACTAAAACCCTAAATTAATATAAAATAAGAAAGAAGTGCTATCTTCGGTCATGCCAACGTTTTTAACCTCTCATGAACTTACCAAACTTATTTCGGAATACAAAAGTCGATTTCTGCGGTTTTGAGGGAACATATCGGTTATATAGAGGATATAGTTTTCCGATTACGATGATTTTCAGTACTAATGTGTAATTTATTATATGTACATACGAGGTGTGATCAGAAAATATCCGTTATTTTCAAATTTCGTTAGTCACGTATGTACGATTTTCGCTTTTTTCTGTTGTGTTGGTACAAATGTCTGTTATATATGTTGACAATATCAGCCTTGTCAGTCTGTTTTTGACAGATAAAAAGGTTAGTCGTGTTATGGTGTGCTCTTGGATTTTTTACTATTCGAAAAAATGGATCAAAGAAAGTGTATTAAGTTAAACTAAATATGCCCAAGGACATTTGAAATGTTGACTGCAGCGGTTGGCAAGTCTACTATGAGGACCTGGTCGCCCGTGATAGTGGTAACATTAAACATTTCTTCGACTGGAATGGCGTGGTACATCATATATACTCGGCACAAGGTCGTACAGTCAATAAGGAATACTACCCAGAAGTTATGCGCCGTCTGCGCAAAGCAATTCGCCAGAAACGCACAGAATTGTGGAAAAAACAATCATGGATTTTGCACCACGACCACGCACCAGCTCACACATCGAAGCTTGTGCGTGTGCTTTTGGCCGAAAACAAAACCGTTATCATGCCTCAACCACCGATTTCACCGGACTTGGTCCCGTTGACTTTTAGGAACTATTTGAAGGAATTGACGTATTTGTATAAGTTTTAGAGGTCCGATTAGGTATGTTAAGACAAACGATCATTTAATTGTACCATCGCATCTGTGTTGAAAATATCTCTAAGACTGAGGGACCACTTTTCGTACAAATAGACGGACAGACGGACATGGCTAAATCAACTCATTCTGATCATATCGATATTAATTTTAATGAGTATATCTTTTGCTTCTGGTACTTACATACTTCGGCCAAAAATTTATATGCTATTTTATGCACATACATGAAAGGTATAAACACTCATTAATAAGAAATGAGCTGCTGACCCATCGTTGGTTCCTCTTCAGGGCAATAATCATTTTAGGCTTAGACACATTTGTTCCGCAAGAAATGGATTGTTCTTGGAGATTACGATCAAATGGCGGAGCCTGGATATTACTTGCAGCCACATTTAGCAGGATTATTGCATTGCTGACGTAAACAGGTCGCCGTTCCTTTTCACAGTGCGGACTCAGGAAGCGTAGCGAAGTCTCAAAGTTAATTCAATAATTAATCGTAGAGTGATATAAGACGATAAAATTTTTTTTTAATTTTTCTTCGTATCTCAGTGCCACTTTAAGTCGGATGTTCACATCGGGCAATTGATTAGAGCTTGTCATGATGCTATGTACATGTCCTCCAACGGGCGTGTACCTATCATAAGATGGAGTGTAAACCGATGTGGTCGCTTTTCCACCTTTTAATTTTGTTCCAAAATCGCGCAAGGAAGCATCGCTTGTTTCTAACCTGCAACCGTTTTCCGGTTTTTAACAGCGGTTTTTACTCTGTTTCTGTTGTTATAAATGCTGCTGTTACTAGCAGGCTGTTAAATACAAGTTTATATTTCAAAGAAAAAATTCCAAAACTTTTATCGTCTTTATAAATTCAATTGAGTTGATATTTGAATGAATTTTTTCAAAAACTATAAAGAAATTACAACAATCAAGTTTCCTTCAATTATTTCATTGTGAATTTTCTATCAATTTCTTTTAAGACAACTCTTTTAGAGAATTAATTTTTGTCAAATTTTACACTTTGGAATTTACATTATTTATTTTCAAACGCTTTCTAAAATTTTAAATCCTTTAATTTACCCAAAATTTAAGGAACTCGTACATTTTCGCTGAGTAATTTTAAGCTTCTCTCGCAGTATTCGGCAGAGGTACGTGTATGCTCTGTTCGTAGAGATAATTGAAATGAACACTGATTGACTCTCTTTCCCCCGAAATGTGGTTATTTTGATGTTTTCCATAACATACCAAACATACAGAGGTATTTAATTTAAAGGTAAAATGCATACCTGCATAGCTTTTGAAGAATTTGCAAATTTTACAAAACATACAATGTGTACATATATACATATAACGATACTTTTACATATGTAAAAGTATTTATTTACTCATATACATATGCACATATGTATGTGCATATCTCCAACCTCTGATACAAAAGTCAACATAAATTCCTGTCCACATCAGCACAAAAACTGAAACAAAAGCGGTCTTT